AATAAGACTCTGTAGTACTGCAATGCATTTATCCATCCTCACTAACATTCAGCTATCTCTGTTTAATCCCTCCTTTGTCAGATCTTTCTTTTTCCTGCATGTTCCTTGCTGGGTTTCTCCTTGTTGAAGGCTCCTTTGTTCTTCCCTCCCTGTTTATCATTAAGTTGCTTCTTTAAATTCTTTCACCACAATACTACCTGCTTCCTGGTGGCATTTATCTTGGTTATTCAATTTAGAGGTTTTATTTTTAGAAACTGCATGTCACTGAGCTTTGCAGGACACTTAGTTAATATATTTAATAGTTAGTTAATATATTACTTATAGACTGTACAGTATTTTAATTTATCATTAAGAAGTTTAGAATATAAAACTATCCAAGATGCTGCAGTAAGAGCTATGATGATAATTTAATGGGAAGATCCAATTTCTTTGATTCTAGTGTCACCTCATTGCCTCTCTGTATAGTGCATAATATAACATTTTTGTGATTCAACTTTGTCAAAGGACAAAGAAATCAGTGATCAAAGCCTGACCACTGAATTACTGCCACACAGCTTTTGTACTTTTAAGATTAGGCTTGAAATTTATTTTCACATTGGGCCAGGCTAGTTTAAACACATGGTTTACCATCATAAATCAAATCCTTTGAAAACTGCAGTGTGCATTTACTCATATTATTTTATACAGTTCAAACAACAAAACTAAGAAAGTTAAAATCTGTTTGTGGGCTAATACTTTTTAACTATTATTTTCTAATGTTAATGAACTTAAGTGAATACTTTTTCTTGCACTTTCTGTTCATTTTCTATTGTTTATTGCCTAAACATATCCTAACAATCCTGAAAAGACTGGCAACCATGCTGATGTTAGCATTCTGTAAATACATTTTCTAAATGTATTTACAGAATGCTGGAATTTAATTGGAAATGGTTTTTCCATAATTCCTGACTTTTGAGTAAAACAAATTATCTTTTCACTTCTTATGATTTAGACTACTTTCAATTGTTATAAGGAGTGCTGGTAATTTTTCTAGTAATGACATAAAGGTTACAGTATGTCTTACTAAAGACTGCTACATACTTCATGTGAACAAGAATTTTTTTCTTGTTCTTGCAAACTTGAGAACTAAAAAAATTTTTGTTTTTCCTCAGAGTATTCAAACGCCAAAAGAAGCTCGGTTGCCAAAGTCCATGCCACTGTAGCACACTTCCCTTAGGATTGATAGAGAAATGGATCTGCTCTGGTGCTATTTGGAAAAACTGTAAACTGGGAAGTGCAGTGCTATGGGTGTTGGACTGCCCCATTAGTATAATTTACTGAGGAAACTCTGCAAGTGCAAAGAAGTGGCATATTTGACTGCAAAAAATTTAGCTTCCGACTAGTTTTGTTTGATTGCAAAGTCATTTCGTTGACGCCCTTTTTTCTTTTTAATGACAATAATGAAAACTGAAAGGCTAAACGTGGATCTTTGATGATTAAAACATGACGAGTCATGTTTTAGTTTTTCATGTTTCTCGTTGATATACAACAAGACAAGACTAAATAAAAAATAGCAGGTCGTCAGTCAGATGTTTAAACTGCATCACTATACTGTAATCATGCAGCCTTGCTTGTGCGTCCTTTTTGATCATGCCGCCCACCTGCAATACTGCTAATGCTGCTAATGCTGCAGGAGCACAGATGGATCATTGTAGCAGAGGCAGGGTCTGACAAAAAAACCTGGAATGGTCCGGTACTGCGTGCTGAACTCTGAAAACTGCTCTGCTTTTCCATCTGTGCTTGTGCAGAAATGCCTCTTTGCACGCAGAGCTTCGAGTCTACACTTCACACTCCACTCTAATGTTAGCTCTCAGCAGTATGGCTCTTTCATAGCTACTTAATAAACTATGTGGCTGATCATCCGCAGCCAAGAGTATAAAACCCCTTTGTCTAACTATCAAGATTTTATATTATCTAGCTCACAAAAGGTGATACTAAACATTCTTTAATTTCGATCAATGTAATCCCTAAATTATATCCAGATAAGATATTTAATTGAATTCAGTTTATTTCTAGATAAAGAGCCAGATGAAAAGGTACATAGATCTTTGAATATTTCTCTCGCACTGTTCATGTTTCTATCTATTTAAATATGATGTAAATGTTTCCTTATATTGTCATTAAAATTTTTCTCTGTTTCCTTTAAATATTTAAATATTTTAGTTAGCATATTCATTAAATTTGGGTCTAGATTACCATGGCATTACAAGGCAATTATGTAGGTTATCTCTGTATTTTGTTTTTTAGATCAAAACCCTGTGAATTTAGATCTACTTTGACCCATGAGCAGCGGTGACTGAAGGGTAAATTCTCAGATAGTAAGCCAAAATTGCCAAAGTAGAAAGAAGAATGCTTTTGGTATTTGCTTCTTTGGAGCAATGAAGATTTTATTAATCCGTCTGTAATGCATTATTCATAGTAGATCAGGATGTGTTTGCATTGGGATGGAAACCTTGTTTGTTTAAAATAATTTCTTTATTGAGACACTTTTTTATAAAGTAGAACATTAATTCATAAAAAAAGTTTATTTGAATTCTATAAATCAAAGTTTTCTGCCCAAAAGCAATGATGAACTGCACAGCAGCATTCTATACCCAGCAACTGTAGTATGTAGGCCAGCATCTAGTCTGGTAAAGAATCTGGTTGTTATTTGAAGTTGTAAAGGTTAACCTTTTTTTTTGCAACATAAAAAGGACTAAAACTAGAATAAAACCTTTTTAGGTTTTGGTCGACTAAAACCGACTAAAACTATCTCGTATCGTAATGACTAAAATGTGACTAAAACTAATAACAGTTTTCGTCCTGAAGACTAAGACTAAATCTAAGATGGCTGTCAAAACAACACTGCTTCCGACATGAGATCAGAAGGAAGTTATTTGTTTACATGTTAACAGCAAAGTGATTAGATGTAGCGACCTTTGTCAGTCTGTTTCAGAAGGTAGCCTTTTAATACTGCTTTATGTTTTTCAACAAATTCCAGTGTGTTTCTAAATAAAGTGATAAAGAGACTAATAGCTGAAGTGAATTAAGGCTTGTCTGAATATGTAAATGCAAGTTATAAATATATTGATCTCGGGTGACAGGGTCATGGTCAGCAGTGGATGTTACTCAAAAAGGTTGAGAAGCACTGTCGTAGAGTACTGTAGTAGTACCTGGGCTGCACCAGTGGGAAATAAATTGATAAGCATAAAAAGGAATAATTTACTGTAGCAACTAAATGCTACCTATTTTTATTCATAGATCAAGATTTTATTTGTCTCTTTGAATAGAATAGATCATTTTTTATCACCATGAATGGCTATTTTTTTTTATTTCTAATGACCTATAACTATTTTTGGGGTGAACCATACTGATTGATCTTTGGAAATGGAGTTTGAGCCTCTGCAGGCGCAGAGG